GACGGGGCAGACGCAGCTGTCTACACAGGGCAGGGACAGAGCCGTCTACACACGACGGGGCAGACGCAGCTGTCTACACAGGCCAGGGACAGAGCTGTCTACACACGACGGGGCAGACACAGCTGTCTACACAGGCCAGGGACAGAGGCGTCTACACACGACGGGGCAGACACAGCTGTCTACACAGGCCGGGGACAGAGCTGTCTACACACGACGGGGCAGACAAAGCTGTCTACACACGGCGGGGCAGACACAGCTGTCTACACAGGCCAGGGACAGAGCTCTACACACGACGGGGCAGACAAAGCTGTCTACACACGGCGGGGCAGACACAGCTGTCTACACAGGCCAGGGACAGAGCCGTCTACACACGACGGGGCAGACGCAGCTGTCCACACAGGCCAGGGAAAGAGCCGTCTACACACGACGGGGCAGACACAGCTGTCTACACATGACGTCCTCCCTCCTCCTGCCCCTCATTCCTCCAGGAGTGCCCTACTCCCGTCCTGCACCCCATCTTCAATAAATTCAATGCATTCCTGAGTCCCACAACTCACTTCTTCCTCCTCCAATCTCACTGCAAGGAGAGAAACGCCCTCTCCCTGCCCTGAACATCTTAGGAACTTAATTTCCACGCTAGGAACTTATCGCCTGCCCCGCAGAGCAAACAATCGTTTCACATGCACCCAAACCGCCTTCCTCACTCAAAGCAGACGTTCCGTGAACACTCCAGTCCTGAGGGAATTCACACCAAGTCAGGGGGTCAGAAAACGATTATTTACCTTAGAGTAGGACCTGGCTTTTTGTCATGGAAACATATTTAACGACAAAGTCGCGGCTCATCAGCAACCCCAATGAACAAGAAAGCCATGCGGGCTGGCAACAGGACTGTAGTTATTAGAGCCCACTTCCTGAGCCTCATTTAGTGGGAAGTTGCTCAAGGGATGGGTCCTGGGGCCATGAGCTCCTGCGGGTCCAGGCAAGTAAGCTCTGGAGGTACCTAGAGGACCTAAGCCAGTCTCCAGGGCTGCCTCCAGCCCTACGTCCCATTCTCATCCCGCACCTCCTTTCTGGAAACATTCTGCATCCCTTCCAACACATCAGAGAACCACCAATGATTTGGAAACAAACAAGCCGTCCTGGGACGGACACCAGCTTCTCGGTCAGCATCAGGGGACTGGCCACTGTGGCTGGGAAACTATTGGACTAGTAACTACCACTTCGTGATATAATTGGTGCTGTTGACCAGATGCCCAGGTCCACTCTTAAAACCTAGAACGTTATAAGCAAGTTCCACCGGGACGTTCTTAATAGGTCAGGGTTCTACGTCTACAATATGCACCAACCACACATTTTTCTATAACGTCTGGAGGCGAAATTTCATTACCTTTTTTTTTTTGAGACAGAGTCTCACTCTTTTGTCCGGGCTAGAGTGCCATGGCCTCAGGCTAGAGTGAGTGTCATGGCGTCAGCCTAGCTCGCAGCAACCTCAAACTCCTGGGCTCAAGCGATCCTCCTGCCTCAGCCTCCCGAGTAGCTGGGACTACAGGCATGCGCCACCATGCCCGGCTAATTTT